ATTGGATTCAAATTTAATTCCATCCATTACAGTAACCCACTTGTAACCTACTGTACAGCAGAGCGACATCCACGACTTACCCGCCTTTTTTCTATTATATTGTAAAATACTGGACGTTTTTTTAATTCTGACTCCCCTCCCAATATACCYACCAAATATATCAAAATTTCTACTAGAAAACACCAAAAAGTTTAAAATCTAAGCGTTGTTATAGTATACGTAATACTATGCTTTTATGTAGCACAAAAATAAAATAAAATAAAATACAAGCCATCGTAAAATAAACATTGGTATTCATCGCTTTGTTCGGAATCTATAATTATGGACAATGGCGTGGTTGTTGCAATCGACAAAATACGCGTGTAATTGAAATTCCTGCATACTCACAGATAATAATCATCGCCATCGTTACTCATCTACATATATATATATATATATATACGATATAGTGTCACGGTGGCGCGTTTAAAAATTCCACCACGGAAACCACCTTCTTCACAGGCGATCTCTCGGAGTCTCGTAACGGTCTAAAAATTTTACTGACCAATTTCATAAAATATACGCATAACCTACCTGGTCGGTAAAATCTTTATACTGGGCTGCAAAATACGTGTATATTATTTTAATAATATGATACCGTGCGTCGTGTGAGTATAATATTACTGTAATTCATCATAATATAGACAATATTAGTTTTGATCCTACGGAACCTGTCAAAGATCAAGCTGCACAGAAAATAAATTTAACTGCTGCAGCAACGCCGTTCCCAAACGAAAAAGTACCCCAATTTATCTAGGTATGGTTACTGGTATAACCAGCTATACCCCGACATATGTGAGGGCATGTGTATATAATAATARTATTAYGGTATAATGTTCGTGGTGCAGTGGTATATATAGGTATATTATACTAACCCGCGAGCGTGTGGCAACAAAAGAGTCCGTCCGGGATGTTTTAAACAAACAGCTCCGAGGGGGGTTGGGTACGTAAATTACTGTTTTTGTCGAGAAAACCGAGAATTACGCTATCCACTGTACCGACCTACTGTAGGTATAACATCCATTTTTAGATTCTCGAAAGAATAATTTCGTATTATTATTATTATTATGACGTCATTTTTGTTATCGACGTACTTTGTTGTTTCTGTAGAGTAAATTTGTTGTGAACGAATAACATGATATTGTATACATTCATCAACGTAATAATTAATTTAAAACAATACATTGCGACAATAATAAAATATATATCTTATTGTACAAGGTGGTTATTTTTAAAATTAAATAATCTTTTCCTCAAAATGTTTAAAATTTTTAAAATTTTCAAAACTATACATTTTTTTAATGATTTTTAGTCATATAAGACTTTTTATTTTTTGTATTGATAATATTAATACTCTTTCATATAACATCGTAYGTTTTTATTTTCATATCCCAAAGCAAAATATTTTTGTGAGTAACATATAACACATAAGATTTTCAACGAGTACCAACTTAATCATTAGATTATAAGTTAAGCCTGAATCTGGATGCACTAATTATAGTAATAATTAAATRCGCCCTTATASAGGCAAAAAATATATGCAACAAAAACCGAAAATATATTGCAACGTGAAATTTGATTATTTTTATTCAATATTTAATTATTAAGATTATAATAATTAATTGTTCCTATAACATTTATTAAAAGTAAAATTAAAAGAAAAACAAAAGTTGATGCAAAGCAAAAATCATATTWTAAATACAAAAGTTTGTATTGTTTTTCAGAAAAAAAGTTATATCAATGTGTAAGCTTACAGGTACAACCAATTTTAATATTAATCAAAAAAC